GGTGGAGATCCGACCACAGTTCAAATCCCGATTGATGATCCTATACGACAACATATTCAACGTATGCCAATACGTAAAGGTAGTTTACTTGTATGGGACAGTCGATTACCACATGGAAACTATCCGAATAATTCAAATCATATGCGAATTGTACAATATTTACACATGGCACCAATAACAGATGAAGCTCTGCGTCCTTTTCCATTAACAAGAAAAGACTTGCCGGAAAAATTTCAATTGACTGAATTAAGTGAAAAATTGTACGGTTTCAAACCATGGGGATCGGCGTATGCACGTGCACGTTTTCGTGAGAAGAGAAATCAACGAGTTCTAGAACAAGCCGAGTACGAACGACAATTGAGGAATGCAATGAAAGCTCAATGTCAAGAAGCTAAGACGAACTGATAAGAGTAATATGCTTGTCGTTTCATGAACAAGTCCTTAAGCTTCACGCTGAAACATTACAATGAATACTATTCTCTCTAAAATACGACCAAATAAAATCTATGACCTAGCGTAAAATCATTACAGTATATTCAGTGCAATATTATTTATCAATTTAGTCGCGATCCACGCTGAAGTTCATATATTGTATAGTGTATTATATCTTTCAGTGATAGAGAGGAACTCGTTTTGGGGGAATCGTTATTATTCTATTCTGAATTCTTTTTTTCAAGATTGGTTCTTTATCATGGAACGGTACAGTTTAGAAAAAATGCAAATTATTCAAAGTGCCTAAGCCTAAATTTGAATTTCATCAAAGAATACTTTGTCCTGCTGCAATTTTCGTCTGGAAATCATTGGACATCGATAAGCAGTATTTTACTTGCATGTCCATAAAGCTCTATAGAAACTTTGGAAGTAACTCCCAGGTAGAAATGTAGTCAAGTGACGTGAAATTTTGCCTATATGTGACGGTTTAGCGAATTTATATGAACTATGGATTAAGTCGTATGTACGGAAAACATTTCAGCACTGTTAGCTGGAAAAAGGTCTCAATTACATTTTTGGCTATATGCGACCGCAAAACTTGCGTCGTGATAGATCTGATTCTGCTGAGATCGCAGTAGAGTTTTAAAGAATTTTTAGAAAGTAGTTATGATTAAATTGATTTGAGAGCCAGTAGTTCGAGTCTGGATTTCATTGAGGGACCCAAAACTAATAAAAATTAAGTTTTCGAAATAAAGATTCAAAAAAAATATCGAAAATTTTTGTTGTTGATGGCGAATCTAAATAAGTCTCGATAGGACAATCAGGTTGAAATTCAATATTTACTTTAGACTTCTATTACTCCAATTGGGCGCACAAAACAAGAATCGTGTCTCCTTATGCTCGGTCCCAAACTGTTCATTCCATTCTATCAAGGAATGATTACTTCATAGCAGATGAATCGTTTCTGCCATTCACCAAACCTATTCCATACAAAAAGCTGAAATCTGCCACCATTTGACTCAAAATGCTTGTGCCAGTAACAGCAAAAGATAATCGAAGGAATGACGACCAACCATCCTGAGGATACGAAGTCGATGATGAGAGTATGGGTGGGTGCGGATGTATAGATGTATCGGTATGGGTGTGGGTGTGGGCGGGCGTTGATGTGGTCTTGTCTTCATGCACACTCGTACCCAACACTTACGCACATCCACACCCAGCGTTGCAACTGACAACGGTAAACGACCGATCTGGTCCGATCCGGCCCGGCCTACATTCTAAACAGAAAAGGTGTTTCACTAAAACAAAAAAGGTTCTTCCCGTGTATCCACCGGAAGAACCTTTTCTTGATTTCGTAGAAAAAAGTTTCGTATCGAATTTTCAGTGAACAAGTATAAAACAAGATTTTGTCTCAATATTTTCGTATCAAATCACCAGAGAATAAATATACAAAAGGTTTTGTATCGCTCTTATTTTTTCCAATGTAAATTTTCTTTTCGTACACAATCTCATGCACAGAAAGCGTGCAAAGCGACTCAAAGCAAGCTTTCTCTTGAAAATTTTTAACAGTAAACCTTATCTTCCTCGAAAATCAACACACCCATCCATGTAGAAACCTAAACATTGCCTCATCACAATTTTCACGGTAGCTATCGGTTATTAAAATGCCAAGATGTACACTGTCATAGAAACCAATCAAAAGGCTTGTTAGAACGTCAGTGATTTTTATTTTATATGATTGGCCACTCAACTGAAACGCATGGACTCAACAGATTCAGATATAACGTACCTACAGAATCAGTAGAATCAAATTATAATAAGAAAAAACATACACTTTAGTTTACAAGTTCAAACTTAGGAAATATGACCGACGATCGAAAATAAAGAAAAAAACAATTTTGTTAGTAAGATAAAACTTACCTACAGCATAATTGAGATCGACATACAATGCATAGAGCCATACAAATCAGTTTATGTGATAAAACTCCCTTATGAAATCCTTATCATAAATCTGATAAAATAGTTAGGAGAAGATTCGGGGGTATAGAATGTTGCTGGAAGATGATTTTATTGGTTCGATCAGCGTAAAGAAAAAGTGTATAGTTTGCGTTTCTTTTTAAGCTTATAGTTACTTTTGGATCGTCTGTTCAATAGAAAAGTTGAAAGTTGTGCACTTTGTGATGAGGTGCAAGATCGTTGCGTTTCAAAATACACAACAGTAACATGTGGAGTTTCTGTTCAATGTTCATCTTCTGTTTTCACAGATGGTCATGTTTTGCTCATTTAACTGTAGTTACTGATTGAATTGTCTCTGGTGTGTTGATGTTTCATGTGTTCTCGATGTTATAAAAAAAAGCATCGAAATAACAAAACATGTTGAATTTCAACATTGCAGTGGAATGGACGGAAGAAAATAGCTGCTTCCATTGATTTCATTTTGACAATTAAATATAATAAATACTATTGGGAGATAACACAAAAATTCGGCATCAAGCTGTAGTTCACTTATCAGATAGGAGACATTCAGAGAAGCTCGATACTGTTGATTGTGTTATTTCAGACCAGCATTTACATATTTCTCATTGAAAATAAAGCAACTTCTAAGAAAAAAAATTGTGGTCTTGCAGTCTCTCCCTCACTTTGCTATTTTACATATTTTGATATTTGCGTGTTTCACGTCATATAGTTACCTAATGAAATATCAAAATACAGGAATGAATTGAAAGAGTGTGAAAAGCAATTGAATAAAAAGTATCAGAAGCTGGTGATTTATAGCCTTGCTGTATAAAAACTCGTATAGGATAAAAAGTTTTCCTCATCTTTAAAGGTACCCAAAAGTATAAAAAATAAAGTATACATTTATTGTCGGCACCAGAATTAAATGTCGATTGGTATAAGACGAACATCTTGAGAAGGGCAATAGTTAGCGATCTGGGCTTTCACCAACCGAAAGAGGCTGAGTCAGGATATGTTTTGATATAATTTTATGCAAGATGAAATCATTGCTAAACCAATCATTTTCGTAGATCTTTGTGAAAAATATTAAAAAATGCAATACAATCCCAATAAAATTTTCATTGTGACATGCATGTTGAATAGAAGGACTTTAAATGTATAGTTCAAGACACAATACGAACAGTGATCTTTTCAAATTCTAATCTTAGACGAATGAGTTCATGGATTTACTTGTTAAAATAATAGGAAATTGCGTTGATTTCTGATCAAATTGTCTTACTTTTTATCAAATTTTCATCGGAACGACAAGCGATTTTGGCAAACAGTAAGAAAATCTAATTAAAAATCAACGCAACTTTCTATTATTTTAACAAGTAAATTCATGAACTCATTCGTCTAAGATTAGAATGTGAAAAGATAACCATTCGTATTGTGTCTTCAACGATACATTTAAAGTCCTTCTATCTAACATGCATGTCACAATCAAAAATTCATTGGAATTATATTGCATTAGTTAACATTTTTCACAAAGATCTACGAAAATGATTGGTTTAGCAATGATTTCATCATGCACAAAATTATATTAAAACATGTCCTGACCTAGCCTCTTTCGATTGATGAAAGCTCCAGATCGCTAGCTATTGTCCTTTTCAAGATACTCATTTTATATCAACTCACATTTAATTCTAGCGTCGACAATAGTCAAAATCATGCACTCTAATAGATTCAAACCTTAAATGTCTATCGACTAGACATAAACCAGTGTTTGCTTTAGATGTATTGTTCATTCCAAAGACATCTTATCTTCAATCGAACAATCCAAATGTTATCCTTCTTGACTGACAAGAAGGGAAGATAGTTGATTAAAAGACGGAAAATCATTAAAGAAAAGTTCTCTCTCTTCTGACAAGCATTTTGAGCTTATCGATACAGCCGGATTTCAATGCAGAATTCCACCCTACCTTTGATTCATCTAATCCAAATCATCGGACATATTTCAGCAGTTAAAAACGAAAAATAGTTTTTCCTTAGTATTATTATCAAATGATGATACAGTATCATTAAAGCGATGTTTTCTCTCTCTTGTGAAGTGTGTCGTTCATTAATACTAGCTGACTTAAAACAGAATTTAATTCTGTATCCTGTATATCTATTCCAAATGCTGAACATACTTTAGCTTTGATAAAAAGACAATATGATTTTCTCAATTTTGTCAACATATGATGATCGCACACATGGTAGATTTGAATTACTTCTCTAACGTATGGATGTTAGTACATAGAGATAACAACAGTCGTTTATAATTTGTTTGTGAGATGCATTCTTGCGAGATTTTCATTTCAAATGCAGTAGGGAAGTTTTTGCTACTTACATTGTATCAGTACTAAATTTATAGAATTAGATGATGGTTAGATTTATGAAAAAAGAATAGAGATATCATGAATAAATATAAAACAAATTTTTTGCTAGTGACTATTAAATGCAGTCCCGCTCTTGTTTTTCTCCTCAATAATGATGTGTTATGTCTCTTGATATTCTCATTGGTTTATTCTGTGACTAATAGAATTTTGTTGCCTGTCTTGTCTTGTGAATTCGTTCTGCTCTACTAATTTCTCATCGATCTTGATATATTGTCACACAAATACATATTATATTCCGTCAATATACCACTAAAATATGGTATCTATATTTTCTGTCTGATTCTCTCAATGACTTCTCTGCTAACATCCACCAATATCATTCGAATATTCTCATTAGTGTGTAATGTGGATGTAGCTTTTGTATGTAAGTATGGAATTCACATATTCACAAGTCGCACAATAAATACAAAAAGCTATATCGTCGATTATTTTAAAAGTAAATAAGATAAACTAATAAAAGTCAAAATCAATAAGATGAATGATATAGATAGATGTCATAAATATCGCTAGTTCGAATAATGAAATACTGAACCCGAAGTAACTTGAGCATGTGACGAATCAGAGCCTCTAGTTCACCTCCAGTGTTTTTGTTACTTAGAGACTACCATCTCTCACTTGATGAGATAATTCCCTCTACTGAAAAGAGGGTCATACACCGAGCAAGGTTCGTATGTTCGTAACTTCGTTCGTTCGTTCGTTCGCACAGAACGAAAAAAGTTTTTTTGACCTATAACATCATCGATCCTGCAACAAAACTTAATCTTAGCTATTGGATTACTCGATATTCCCACCCCCTCCCCCAAACTAATCAGATGTCTGCTTCATCTGCATGCCAGCCAATCAGATTTCAGGTAACATGTTTTCAGCCAATCGTAGGTTTTTACGGATCGGCTATGCACCAATAAGATTCCAAGAGTGTCCATTTTGGCCAATCATAGGTTTTCACGGTTTGGCTACGCGCCAATTGGATTTTGAGAGTGTCCATTTTGGCCAATCATAGGTTTTCAGGGTTTGGCTATGCGCCAATGAGATTTTGAGAGTGGCCATTTGGACCAATCATAGATTTCCGCAGTTTGGCTATGCACCAATGAGATTTCGTGAGTTGGGAGTTGCACCCATCTAAAGTTTTCCGGTTAGGGTGGATGTGCGTGGGCGTGAATGGTGTATGATGTGCGTGTAGGTTGAATGGAGTGAGGTTATGGTATGTGTGAAAGTGTGGGCGTGGATACGGCTGTGGGCGTGGGCGGTTGTGAACGTGTGTTGTAGTGAGTACTCAGTACGTTTGGATGGGTTGGAGTGTGAGTGTATATTTGGATTCGGAATTAAATGAAATGTATTCTTATGTACACCGACACCGACAACTACACGGGATCCTGCACACATACGCACTCTGTATGTGTTTCAAAATGAAAGCTGAGATTTGAGTATAGTTGGAAAACCTATTGGAGCAGGATTCTTGGAATTTTTTGTAAGTTTTAGTGGTATGTGGGACCTAATGCTACTGTACTAGTTGTTTATGGAAGTTGGTTTAATGAAATGAAGGTCGTTCGGTTGCCTCTGGTTCTCGATGTAGTTTGTCGGTTTGTTACGATGACGTCATATGAAGGTACACTTGCAAGTGTTGTTAGCGGAGATGTTGGTAAGAAAATTTGGTTGACATTGCTGATCTTCTCTGAAATCGTTACTTAAGAAACTTTTCTTTCACGACGTGTGTCACATGTAGTTTCTGTTGTGTTGTATAGCTGTGAAATGCTGCTTGGGATGCTGATTGAATGCACGAACGATAGTGACTTTCTATCAATACAGTTCGTTTACATAATTCAAATTCTTTTCATTATTTTTTATCTTGATGGCTTTTATTTGAAATATAGTTTCGTACGAGCTGTACAAGTGATCAATAGACTATAATTGTAAAAAGAACAGATTTGGAGCATGCAATATAGCTTTTTGAGTTAGATGGTTCTTCTGAACATCACGGCACTCTTAAGATGTTGTTGTTTTAAGCGATGAATCGAAAACGTTTCCGAGTATTTTGTGCTATTCTATCTAGTCTTTTAAGTTCTTCTATTTGGGCCGTTGACGGTTTAACTTGAAGTGTTGCAAATTCAAATGGACGTATGATTAGTAAATCATCGAGCCTCTTTACACGAGATAATGGAACGTAGACCGAGGCTAATTTGAGTGAGCAGGCGGCATGACCAGGTCGACGATAATTTTACCCAGTGTTTGACCTTGACTTTTATGTGTTGTCATGCTATATGGCGATATAAGCGGAAGTGCTTTACGTTTGACCATGAGTTTTGTTGTTTTCTTGTTTATTTTGGCCGCTTTTGCTACATTTTCTGGAAGAAGTTCTCTGGCGTCAAACAGGAATGTTTGTTCACTAACAGCTATAGGGACTATTTTGGAAGACAGTTGAGCAAGTTTGTCATCAAGTTTGCAACTCGGAAATTCTACTAAAGCGTACTGTGGTTGCGTTATAAACTTGGGATTTGGTGGAAAATTCTAATTGTGGTATCGAACATCTTCTAGTGGTTCATCGTATACAAGTTGACGGAAGATTCCTCGTGTACCGTTAGAGAGTCCGAGCTCAGTAGCAATGTTTTCTGTAAGTAAAACTGGCATTCCTGGTACAAGTGGTAAATACTCTGGAAAATGTTCGGCTTTATTGTCACGTAGTTCAAGTATGGCTTTACGTAATCGTAGATCATCCACAGGTTTTTCGTGAATATAATCTTGAGCAATACAAACAATTGGAGTAAGTCCCATTTCAATTATTTTGTTTAAGACAGCCCTATTGTTTATCTGAGTGCGTAGTGTATTCCGAAAAACCAGTATTGGAGCCTATTAAAAGAAAAGTAATGTGATACACAGAGAAAATGAGTGTGCATACTTCGTTTCGTGACTTTTATTGTAGACATACTTAAAGTTTTGGATTTCCTATGATTCTTGCACACAGAAGTCGATAATCTTCCATTGTCGATTATCCATTTCTTAACCTATTTAAAAGCTCCAAATATCTTACATCTACGGTACGCATTTGCTGAGTTAATTCCACAACGCAGTTTATTTCAGACATAAGCTCCAGTGCACACAACATATCTATCTGACGTTCTGTAACTTGCTGTGTCGATGTGCAGCTACAGTAGAGAGGCTTGTTAAATATAAAATAAAGATGTGAGGTACCATGGCTTCTAGCTGTGGACATAGTTCTTTCCCATTTTCTTTCTTTGTGAAACGTTTGTCTTCAAAAGACTGTACCGGATTCCCTCTACTGAAAGTTCTCTCCACTGGAAGAAGAGTCTTACGCAGAATAAGTTATGTACGTTCGTTCGTTCGCACAGAACAAAAAAAAATGTCCCTTTGACCTTCTGCAAGATGGCTTCTTACAGGAAATAAAAAAATCAAAATCGGTGAGATTGGCCACCTCGGACACAAGTTTTAGCCAACCAAGTATTTTCTGAGTGGCGCGCTCACCCAATAGAATTTCGACGGCCCAGAATTCAGCCAATAAAATTTCGAAAGTCCAAAATTCGGTCAATCAGGTGTTATCTGGATGTGGTCTTCAGCCAATAGGATTTCGAGGGTCAATAATTTGGTGAATCAAGTATTTTCTGGCTGTGGCGATCAGCCAATAGGATTTCGAGGGCCCAAAGTTTGACTAAGCAGATGTTTTTTGTAGGTGCGGCATTCAGTCAATAGGATTTTGAGAGCTCAAAATTCAGCGATTCAGGTTTTTCTGGATGTAGCTTGCGTGGAAGCAATTTTGTCGGGTGTGACTGGGTATCACTATGAAAATTTATTCGTGTAAGTCTTGTACAGTAAGATCAGGATGTGGAAATGATCGTTTCTATGCTTTTCGGTTTCTGTGTCGGCTATACAGCTTGTATGGTATACACAGGTGATGATATTCCTTTATGTAGACACTGGTACGAAGACTCGGATCTACTCAACCATCTTCGCTAATGTCCCTCACGAACATTCATATTCAAGTTTGACATGGAATACAGGAAAGATTTCATATACGTTATGGTGGGATGAGTTCAGTTATTTGCTCGGGTTGTGCATGGGTAGCTATACAATATCAATCGGTGGAACGTTTTTAAAGATTAAATTCTTTGCATGCAATAATATACGTATATCGCTTTTGTTGCAAGATATAAATTCATACAAGTTTCATGAAGGATCAATAGAATAAGATATCAAAATGAACACAAATCGAGCATATAATGTATAGTAAATGCTTTACAGCTCGCAGGTTATCACGAAAATTTGAGTACTGAGAAAATTTTATTGTTTTAAACAGATAATGGAAAACGTTTTCTAGTATTTTGTGCAATTCTGTCTAACCTCTTCAGTTCTTCGAGCTGAGCTGTCGATGGCTTCATTTGAAGTGTTGCGAATTCAAAAGGACGTATGATTAGTAAATCATCAAGCCGTTTTACACGAGACAATGGAACGTAAGCCGATGCGACTTCAACTGGATCAGGTGGCATGATAAGATCAATGATAATTTTACCGAGTGTTTGACCTTGACTTTTATGCGTTATCATACTGTAGGCGGAGAATTAGAAGAAGAGCTCTGCGCTTGATCAAGATTTTTGTTGTTCGTTTGTTCATTTTTGCAGCCTTTGCCACATTTTCGGTAAGAAGCTCCTTGACATCAAAGAGGAATATTTGTCAACAAATGGCTATTGGAATTATTCTGGATTTAGGTTCAACAAGTTCAGAATCAAGCTTGCAATTTGAAAAATTCTACTAAAGCATATTTTGGTTGTGTTATAAACTTAGTATTTGTTGGAAAATTCTTGTCATGGAACTGAACATCTAATGAAGATTCTTCGTATACAAGTTGACGAAATATCCCACGTGTATCATTGGACAGTCCGAGCTCAGTAGCAACGTTCTCTGTGAGTAAAATTGGCAGTCCCGCTACGAGAGATAAATAGCCTGGAATATGCTCTGTTTTATTGTCAGATAGTTCAAGAATCGTTTTATGTAATCGTTTTGTCTTCTATGTTTTTTCCCTGAATATAATCTTGAGTGACGCATACGATCGGTGTAAGTTTCATTTCCATCACTTTATTTAAGACCGCCCTATTGTCAAGCTGAGTACGAAGTACATTTCGAAAAACCAGTATTGAAACTTGTTAACAAAGATCTAGTGACGTATAGAAAAAGAAGTGATTATACATACTTCGTTCCATGGTTTTTATTGTAATGATACCTGGAGTTTTGAATTTTCCTATGACTCGCCTAAAAAGAAGTTGATAATCTTCGATTGTCGACTGCTCATTTGTCAATCTGTTTAAAAGCTTCAAATATCGGATGTCTTCCGTTCGCATTTGCTGATTTAATTCAACGACGCAATTCATTTGAGACATAAGCTTCTGTACATATAGTATATCTATTTGACGTTCTGTAAATTGCTGTGTCGATGCGCAGCTTTGGTAGAGAGATCTATTCAATACTGGAGAATATTGCAGATAGTCGCAAAAAAAACTGACATTCACACTACCAAAAGAAAACTCAGAATTTATGTGCTTTGCTATTTTCACTATTCGATTAAGACGAGCTAATAGACTAAGTTCTGCCATACTCATCTCATCGATTATCAAGTACTTGACATGACGCCATTCATTTTCCAACTTCGTGTCCCCGGGTCTAAATGGGCATGTTTGCTTCTTTTCGGAATTTTTGCGACTTTCACCTAAAAATGAATGTCTATTTAATCTATCAATCTCTGCTGCTGCTATAGACGTTGGTGTCAGTTTACGCAGCATTTTGTTCCTCTTGGTTAGTAAGAAATACTTGGTGATTGTCCGAATCAACTAAGATTTTCCAGTATCGCCGTAGCCAGGTACATACATCGGTAACTGATTGTCGATAGTACCTAAATAGTTATGGTTAATGATAATTCTTAATTACAAAATCAAGAAATATGTCACAGGCAAAATTAAACTTAGGCAAAATTGATATTAGATTAGGCGCATAATGTTACCTGTACTTTTTTTTATTTAGAAACGATTTCTAATTATCATTTGCATTCAGAAATTCTCTGCAGATTACTTGATTATTTCATTAATGAACATATCAATAATCTTTTCGCAGATGTAACAGACACGAAACATGTTGGAAACTAAACTAACAGATATAAAATTTTATACATAAAAGAAATTGTTGTCAAACTATAAATTCTTTATTTATTTATGTTTTCGTTTTTGCAATAGTATTTTCCTAGTTCGACTGAAGATAAAAAATTCTTTTCCATCTCAGAAATTATTTGCGAATTGAATGCTTAACGTAGGATGTCTACAGATTAACATCATATGGTATCAGCTGTTTGATGATTATCACTTTTCTTTGTATACTGCGAATGAAATGTAACTGATCATTTGTAAAAGTATTACTAAGAAAAACCAATTGATACTTAACTTTTATTTTTATTATCTTTAATAAAAAAAAATAAACTATTCTCAAACCATATGACTACTAATGATATTTTATATATATTTTTAATTCTCATTTTGTTCTCTTTTTCTCTTCTTTCACCTGGTGAACTCTACATCTTCATAAATCTAATGATGATTTCAACAGAAAAAGGCTAGCGAACTCTACATTTTCCTAAATCTGATGATGATTTAAATAAAAAAAGGCTAGCAAACTCTATACCTTCTTAGGTCCAATGATGATTTCAATGGAAAAGACTAGGGAACTCTACATCTCAAATTTACTATATACTTTTGAATTAAAATCATAAAATTTGTTATTTCACTACGTTGCATCAATCACTAAAACAATCAAGTTCAATTTTGTCTAATAATTTAAATTTTCAAAATATTGATTTAATTTTGCCTAGGTCTCAGTTTTGCCTGACACAAGTACATACAAGTGTGAACTTGATTATCGCCATCTAGATGATTAGTAACAATCGTAAAAGCACACTACTGCTGACTATTTAATGTGAAATTTTTGACAATGTCTATTTTTATTGGAAATACTACTGCTGTAGTTGCAATTACTGGTGGCACTGTGGTAGCTTGTGCTTTAAACGGACTTCTTGGTATTCCAGGAGTTAAGACTTCAATCTGTGTTTTATCATCTTGTATCTCTAAACTGTCTTCACCTGAAATTAAATAAGTTCTTGCTTTATCTCTTCTGTTTTCAATGTCGTATTTCCATCCTTTGTTCATTATTGCATGATGTGGTTCAGCTACCACGAATGTCTTAAAAATGTGTGCGATATCATAGCTATTTTGTTCCATACGCTTGTGTGACCTAAATGAAACTAAATATTTCGAAGTGCAGCACTGATAAACTCACCATTAACTAATGCAAATCTATCCGTGTTATCAGTTGCTTGTAATGCGTCATTTAGGTAACATTGCTCTTGATTACCGGTTGATACCGAGTAAGTATTCGTAGTTACCGCATTTACGATGGATACCAGTTGTAAAAGTTGTTCAGAATCATCTTATTCGGTGTGTTAGGCCTCCTGATAGCAGTCTGGTGTTGGTGTGGAAAACAACATCACGCTCTACACCTATACCCACATCTACACCCACACCCACATCCTCAGAACAGGATCAATACTGCTGTCATTTTGCGCTGCTAAAGAAACTTTATGAAGGTGCTCATTCCGATAGTGTTTAAATTCATGCAAGGGTTGTATATTTTCGGTAGTTTTGAGTTAGCTGGAAGAGATCAATGATTTTTGGACTTCCAGTGCCTCAGACCATGTCTGGTTCGATGCGCAAAGGTTTTGAAAT